CACACAATACATACAGAAACACACACACACAGAAACACACACACACACATGCACACACACATGTATGCATGCACACATGCGCTTGCGCACTAGGATTCACGAGGAAGTCTGCCTCCACACGGGAAACTGTGGATACTAGAAGCAGACACAAGACTCCTCTACCAGAGCAAAGATCTTATTTTTCACAGCTGCATGCAACATTGCTTCTTCACCCTTCTTTGCCATGGATAATATTTGGAGGTAGAATCAGTAAGGTTTACTAATGGAGTGTTGGGGTGAAAGAATGACTCCAGATCCTTTCTAAACTGGGACCCTAAGAAAAGGAGTGTGAATTGATGGTTCGGGTAAAGGTTGATGAAAAACAAAGTACTACTTTGGACAGGGAAAGCTGACGGCTGGAAGATGTCTATATGGAAAGCAGTCTGGCATGAGAGTCTGGGGCTTAGGAGCAAGGGCCAAGGCAGGAGATACACTTGGTAAACACTCCCTTGGCAGACGGAAGGTCTTGACCACCTGAAAACTGATGTGTCCGCTGGAGATTGCTGTCTGTTTCTTCCTCTCCGGGACAGCAGGCTTCCTTGCAGCTACTGTTAAATACGGATCCCTGTTCCTAGACTCCTTTGTCTCTTTCATGTGAAATTTTGTGGTCCAATCGATAGGTAGATGGATGAGAAGAGAGATAGACAATAAATAGATATTTCTGCATTGATATTTTGCACCATATTTTTTGGAAATTTATCTTTCTTCCAGAATTGAGTTTGGCTGTGATGTTTGAGGCCATGGTTCATGGCTATGAGACATGGGCAAATGAGCAGTTGAGGATGGTCCTGAATTCTCTGACCTGGTGGATTTGGTTTTGAACATCTTCCTGCAAGCACAAGGAGGGAAAAATAACCTTGTTTGTGTAAGCCACCACAGTTGGGTTATTTGTTACGTTTTGGCCATGCTGTATCTTCAAACAACCCCCTAAAAGCATACCCAGTTGCCAAGGCAACCGTGCTGGGAGGCAAAGCCTCATGGGAAGCCTACAGAGGTAAGGTTGTGCCTCCATAAAGTGAATAATGCGAAATATGAAAAGGGATGTGAGCCTCTATGTTTGATCTCTCACTGTTTCATTCGTGATGCCTTCAGCCACGTTATAACACACAAAAAGACTCCCATGAAACATGCCTTTGGCCTGCCGAACTTTGAGTAAAAGTAATTTCTTTGTTTACAAATGGCCCCATCTTTGATATTTTGTTATAACAGTATATATAAATTAAAACTGGACATATATATTATTAACATATAAATATTTTAAATAAAATAGAATTAATCTCCTCGAGGAAGAGTAACTTAGATAAATACTTCATTAACTCAAGCTCAACAAGATAAATTCCATTAAGTCACGAGTCTCTTAAAAATGTTCAACTCCTGAAGGCTAGAGACATGGCTCAGCAGTTAAAAGTGCTTGTTGCTTTCCCAGGAAACCAAGTCCTAGCACCCATGTCAGATGGTTCACAACTCCCTGTAACTCCAGCTCCCGGGGCCCAATGCTCTCTGCTGGACCCTGAAGCCACCTACACTTACACCCTGCACCTGCACCACCACGCAAACACACACATATGCACACATAATATATAAAATAAATTAAAATCATTTTCTAATTTCCCAACTCTTTGCAATAATGCATTATATTTGAATTTTTAGCATTTCAAATATTAGCATGATGGTTTACAACCAATTACACCGTTCTCATGTACGTTTAAATTTATTTTTGAGAGGGTGTCTCACTGCTGCCTAGACTGTCCTCAAACCTAAGGATTCTCCTACACTGGCCTCCTGAGTAGCTGGGATTACAGGTGTGTAGCACCATGCATGCCTTGGAATGCTCACCTACCTAAGTATCTCTAATCCTGATAAAGTTATAATGAGTCTGTTCATATATTGCTAATAAGCTATGTCAGGTTATACCCCTCTGTCAAATCACAACCCAATCACCAATATTGCCTTTTAGCTTCAGATGGTGGGCTCTTTAAACATTTAGTTCACTTCAACAAGGAATACAGAATACAATGATATTCCCCCTACAGTTAGCCTGAAAGGATCAATATGGATGTGGTGCTTTTCAACATCCTTGTTTAATTCTACATGTCCCAGGTCTTGGTAAGTCACTCACTCAACAACGGACAGACTCTGTACCCTAGGGGACTCAGGGGTGCAAAGCAGCAGTTCATGAGCCCATGTCCCAAACAGGAAGTTCTACTGTGCTGACGTCACTTCCTGCCTGACCTCATAGGCTCCAGTTCTCCGCTCAAATGCTTCCATGTTGCCTTAAAAATGCTTCAGTGCTGTTGCATTTGATGCCGAGCCGCGGCAGAATGGGATTAAAGCCGATCACATTCCAGCAGCACCGCTCTGTTTAACTTGGCTGGGCCACTGCTTGAACGGGGTCCCCTCCAGAGTCTCCCCAGCAGTTCTCCACAGATTAGCGGAGACCACCCAGAAGGATGCTGGCTACTCTCTCCACTCTGCTTTGTTATAGTGGGGGAGGTGGGGGCACCATGGAGGCAGAGCTGGTGCTACTACATTCTCATCTCTCACCTTTTGTACTTCTGTGTAGATTGGCGATATTATGTTTCATAATTCTATTTCACCCAAATAATAAGGGGCTACTCTGTAGGTAGCTAGGAAATAGCCATTATGGTTCTTGTTCCCCTCAGGCAAAATATTCACTGGTAACTTTATTTCTTCCAGTTAGAATGCAAAATTCCAGTTGCGTTTGAGCCCTTAAAAATTTTAAAATACTTAAAAAATAGTTTATCAATTTGAATGCTCTTCAAAAACTCAAATCTTCAGACACATCAGTTGGTGAACCATCTTTCTGGTGAATAGTCACTCCTACTTGTCCATGTGGTGTAAGACGGAGTACACGGTGGTGTTTGAGCATATGCAATGCGGCGTAAGACGGAGTACATGTTAGTGTTTGAGCATATGCAATATCCATTTCCCCCCAATTTCACTTATCAGAGAAAGCACTTTTCCTCCCATAAGGAGCAAAAAGAAACAGGAAAGGGACTGTCCTCAGTACTCCTGAGATGGAAATTTAACTAAAAATGTATATATGGCCTACCTATCATTGGAAGACAGTAGCAAGGTTTGCTCTATTCCACTCCTCCCATGTGGGAGCTCCTTCTTTGTCTTTGTAGTAAGTTATATATGTGGTGGTTTGTCCCTGTGTACTTACTTGGTCGTGTGTCACACATGTGCTGTCTGTCAATAACAAAACTACAGTGCTCCCTAATACCACCACCACCATTAGCACCACCACTTTCCACCACAATTGCCACCATCACCAGCAGCAGCAGCAGCGCTACCACCGTCACCACCACCACCCTCAGTACCACCACCCTCAGTACCACCACTATTCACCACCATCGCCACAACCATCACCATCACCACCACCATCAGCACCATCACCACCACCACCATCAGTATCACCACCACCATCAGCACCACCACTATCTATCCCTATCACCATCATCACAGCCACCACTATTACCACCACCACCATCATCATTACTGACACCACCTCACCACCACTACCATTATTTTGTTCTGAATTCCACAAAAGACATCTGAGAAAGCCCTTCCCAGAGCTTTATCTTTGTGCCTTTGTTGAACATGAGCGACCAGGGTCATGTATCTTTAGGGTCGATGATAGGAAAATGACCAGCTAGCTCCCTGTGATGCTGTTTACTTGAGGGCCCCTCATTCCACTCCTGTGGAACCTTGGCTTTCTTCATCCACTCTAGTGGCTATATACCTGAACAGTCACAATGGGGACCCTCTTCCTTCCCTACCTTCCCTGTGTGTGGCTAGGAGGGACCTTACAAAGGTGACACCTTTGTTTTTGCACCTCAGTTTTACTCTTCAGAACAGATGAAAACAACATCAAAGAAAATTTTGAGCTCCATTTCCAGACCTTAGAAAAAGATGACGTGTGTGTGTGTGTGTGTGTACTTATTTATACTGTGACAACCAAGTATTTATTATTCTGGTATTTGAAACACAGAGAAACTTTGTCCAACACAACAATAAGATGTGTATCAATTGGTTCCCATTCCCACCCATGAGAATCTACAAAACCCACAATAGCATTAAAAGAAACCTCATTTCAGTAAAACCCTAGGGACACACACTGGTCACAGGGACGGGAGGGAAAATGCATGTAGAGGAAACCGAAGACGTGTAGATGTTGGGAGCATCTAGATACTTCAAAGGACCTCAAGGCTAAAGGTGTTGGTTCCTGTAAGTCTAATTCTGTTTCAGAGCAAAGAAAGACCGTCTTCCCCACATGAGAGGGCCCCAGCTTTCTCTCATTAACAGCCCAGCTGAGGGGCAAAGAAGAAAAAGAGGAATAGCGGGGAGAAAAGGACAAAAGGAAAAGGAAAATGGGGAGGAGGAGGAGGAGGAGGAGGAGGAGGAGGAGGGGGAAGATGCCACGGTAGTGACACCAAAAAGCGAGTAGACTAGCTGGATGGACAACTACCCAAACAACAAAAATAAAGACACGGACGCCAGGACACTGCGAGCGCCGATGGGTGGGGAGGGGTGGTTGACTAGCTCTGGCAGGCACAGTTGGACACTTGTCACCAGGGAAGTCCCAAAGACTATTGCTGTTTCCCGAAGAACAGGTGCATGTGTTCTATGAGAGCAGAAGGAAGGAAAGGCTGTGTGTGGTGAGCAGTTCCTCTGAAAAGCTGGAACTGCCCGGTGCTGGCTGCCAACTTCTTTTGTGCAAACACCTTCATCAAGGGCAATTTTAAGCTGCAACCAATTGAATAACTTGGTCCAAAATTCCAGAATATTTAATCCCCAGGTTCCATGTGCTAGTATAAACCAGTATAAACCAGCTCCGGCACACCCCATGCAGTTATAATGTACAGATATCTGCCAGCTGGATCATGGCACAGAGACAGGCCTCCTGTTCTGTGAATACCACATTTTAGTGACTTTAATGGTTTTAATTCAGGATTTTATTTCCATGAAGTCCAATAACAGAATAGGTCTCAATAGCACATTCATAGTCTCAAAGCCACCAGAAAGCAAAGGGCCGAAAGACCACATGATTAGTAAACATTTAAATTATAAATCATTGTATAGGTAATCCTTGGAGCTATAGGAAACTTTCAAATGTGACTTCTATCTTCTATACATGAATTTTCTAAGTAAATGAAAATAATCGCCTCCAATTTTGTAGAGGTTAAGGTGTGCATGCTTCTTTAGTGCCCTGTGTTCACTAAAACAGTTCATCAAAAACAGTACTTACTGGACAGAAAGTTCTAGAGAGTGCAGAAAGATTTCATGACATGAGAAGTTCGTTTCTTGTTCACCAGTGTGCAGAGCAGACCTGACTCAGAGAGCAAGAGAAGCCAGCAGACCCAGAGCGGGGAAGCAAGTGTCATCCCATTATGGGGCAACTGATTATATTGTCACCATGATCTGGTCCAGAGCTTTCCGCTTGAGGTCAGGCACTGTGGCCTCTCTGCTGGGGTACCCCACAGGAAGCAACACCAGCAGCTTCTCATGTGAGGGACGGCCCAGGAGCAGCCTCAGACGAGGACCGCAGTTGAGGGGCGTGGTCGTGACTGTCACTAGCCCTGCATTCTGAAACAAGAGAGAACAAACACTTTAATGTCAGGCAAAACCACAGCTCTTTCTCCAGCCCAGGGCCGTTCTCATCTTTTCTACTTCTGCTCACTTGTCATTGCTCGCTGAAGCTGGGTGGCAAAGAGGCTGGCAGCTTAGGTGATGCCTTGTGAACCTTGCCAGTGCCCCCCCCCCCGCCTGTCACCTCTTTAGACAAGCAGCAGGAAACACCTTGAAGAAAGCATCTTATTTGCTAATGATGAGTGAGCAATAAGAATGACTGTTTTATGGAAGTGACTTTGAAGATTGTAACTCTCAGCAGGATGGTGGTGGGGCACACCTTTAATCCCAGCACTCGGGAGGCAGAGGCAGGCAGATCTCTGAGTTCGAGGCTACCCTGGTCTGCAGAGTGAGTTCCAGGACAGCTAGGGTTACACAGAGAAACCCTGTCTCAAAAAAGAGAGAAGGAGGGAGAGAAGAGAGAGAGAGGAAGAGAGAGAGAGAGAGAAAGAGAGAGAGAGAGAGAGAGAGAGAGAGAGAGAGAGAGAGAATGTAACTATCCTTAAAGAATGGCAATGATACGCTTAGGATCTGGTCTGTGCCTTGTATCTGACCACAACAGCAACGGCAGTCCGACAACACTGTCCACAGCCTAAGTCCACTGTAGTTTTCCTGACAGATGTTCTTTCCAGAATTCCAGTTACCCATCTGATTATTATTTGTTATTAATAGCCATAATAGTAACTTCTGAACCCACATATTTATAAGGATCTGGAATGAATTACTACGGGGTCTCCTGAGGTCTTATACACATCGTCACATGTCTTCATCCACAAAAGCCATCAGTGAAGTACTTGCCTTGCAGGCCTGAGGACCTGGGTCCAACCTCACAGAACCCATAACTCATAAAATAATAAAACCCGGGGCCAGTGACACATGCTGGGGAAGCTCAGGCAGACGTATCTGTACAACTGTTCCCCCTCCCACCCACACTTCCCCAGTCACCTGGCTACCTTGAAGCCTGAGCCCGGAGGAAGGCCAGGAGTTGCGTCTGGCTTCCTGCATGGCCATCCCATCCCATTAAGTCACTGTGTTAGGGATCAGGCTCCAGGAACACTTTTCTCTCTTCCCCCAGTCATAAACTACCTTGGAATTATGGGAAACTAGAAAGCAACAAGCTCTACAGGAACACTAGTCTGGCTAACCCTTTCCAGAGGCCAAGGGCACTGTGGGAAGGGGGCCGGCACCAGGCTCACCCTGCTTCTCCCAAAACCTAAATCAACTGCAATGTTCTATGATCGGACGCTGTCCCAAGATACCTTCATTCATCTGCCTACAGGAGGAAAGGCCAAAGCCAGGCTCTTCAGGGTGGTTTGAGAAGCAGCAACAGCCAAATGTTGTAAGGCGTCAGACGCAAGCCACGTTTTTCTCGGAGATGCTGAGGAACCTCATCTATATAAAACTGAACCTTCTGTCCAAGCAGGACCATTCTCTCTTGCAGTATTGTGCATTGCATTAATTTGTGTGTTTAGCAGCTCTCCCTCATCCCTCCCCTGAACCCCAAGTCTCCATCAGATGAACTGTTAATACGCTATCTATTCCCTGGAGTCTCCCAAAGATGGCACAGGGTTTGAGAGGCAGAGCTCAGTCCTGCTCCGTTTCACATTTGCTTTGCTCTAGGACCTCTGCAGAAATGTTTGTAAGCATGTGGCTGTCTTCCTGAGGCAATGCAGGCTAGGGAACCTCTCAAGGAAGGAGCAGAGAGCCTCGCGGTTGCTTAATCACCACACCAGCCTAGCAAGGAGCAGTGTGCGCTGAGGGGAGTGTTTCTCTGAGATGTTCCGGCTCTGCTTTCTGCTCGTGTGGCTGCTCAAAGCCCTAAGCTCCATGCCATTTATGGAAGAGAGCAAACACCGCTTTTCTGACCCTGAGATATTACAAGTGAATTTCCAGGGAGAAAATCAGCTTGCAAAATCGTGATGCCCACCAATCCAGGTTTCCAGGGTTTGTTATCAATCACACTGACCTTTTCTAGGAATTCAACTTTAGGTAAACAATTCCCAAATGACCCCTAATTGGAAACTCGCCTCAAACATCCTGCTAGAGCAGTAGTTCTCAACTCATGGGTCATGACCTCCAAAGCCCATTGGAAAACACAGATATTTACATTATGATTCGTAGCAGTAGCAAAATCATATTTATGGGGTAGCAACACCATAAGTTTTTGGTTGGCAGTCCCATGGCATGAGAATCTGTGTTAAAGGGTCACAGAGTTAGGAACAGTGAGAACCGCTGGCTAAAACCACTCTTAGTGCCATGTCTTCCTGGTCTACCCTGGGCCTACAGGTGGGCAACATACCTGCAGCGCAGCCAGCAGGATGCCACAGGCAATGGACACACTGATCTCATTGTAGTAGTGGACCTTTTTCTTTCCATTTGCAGCATAACCGTGCACTTGTTTGAAAATGAGAATCAGAACCGGGGCGGTGTCCAGGTACTCCTTAACCCAATTGGTTCTGGAGGGATGGCACAGAGATAGTCAGGAGAATATTTACTCGAATTTGGGTTGCTTTTCTTCTCTTCTTTTAAAAAAAAACTACCCTAATTTATCTACACATTTATTTAGTTTAAATACACATTTACTTCTCTTTTCTATTTAAAGCAAAAAGACTGGATTTTTAACTCTTTTCCACATTCATCTTTTTTTTCTATAGGGTTAATGAAGTTGAAAAACATGTGTGTGTGTGTGTGTGTGTGTGTGTGTGTTAGTATGTGCCCAGCATTGCAAAGGTCATGGAAGATTGAAAGAGACAAAGGTCCTACAGTTTGGCGTCACCAAGCTGATGCTCAGCAAAATGAGGCCTGCTGGGTGGCACTAAAGAACCAGATAACAAGTGCATCCAAGTACTCCGAGCAAAGTGTTGATTTGGAAAAGAACACAGGATGCCATAGAAATGGACTTCAGTTGCTCTGTGAAGCTGAGGAAGGAGATTTGGGGAAAGTGCCCCAGGAAGAATGAATGGGTATGGCCAGTAAGGAAAGGATGTGGGGAGGCCAGAAAACTTCCTGGAGCCTGAAGGATGGAGGGATTGCCAGGCCATGGGTAGGCTGGTAGGTACCTGTAGACTTTGTAAGGACCTTGGCCCTCATTTGGTAGGTGATGGAAGGTTTACCCTGATTTGTTGACCAGAGCAATTTGTGATCAGATCCATTTCAGGAATGTGGATTGTATGAGTGAGAACAACGTCACCAAGAGTGGTATTGAAGTACCAACTACAAAGTCATCCTTGACGGAGGGGAACCATAAGCCTGGCCGGGGCCGTGCCGCAGTCAAGAGGGTGGTCAAAGGAGGGCCAGGCTGGGGAGAACGGAAGGAGGAGGTAAGGGTTCCAGGACACGGAAAGGAGCAAGCGGAGGAGAAGGCAGTGGTGACAAGGGGAGTTAGCAGATGACGGAAGAAGGTTCGCTGGGGGAAGAGGCAGCGGCTTCTGAGTGAGCCAATGGTATCAATGATAGCTTGAAAATCTTGTTCTTCAACTCCAAACATATCTTCCTCAATTCCATTACCCTGGCCCCTACATCTGTGCTGAAACTTCATTTTAGAAGAGATGCTGAAAAGAGAGCTATAGGTCCATGGGATATCTATTTAAAACTGCTTTCTGTTCCCCATGGACTATTAATTGCAACTAATTATCAAGAGGAGGTCCCTATTCATTTTATGATTTAGCCTAATTACGTGTCACTATTTAAAACACATCTGAAGTGTATATTCCTCTGTTGATTTCAAGCCAACACTCTCAAGGATCTTCTCGCCCATTCAGCCAGCTTAGCCCCATTGTTAGTACTTTCCCACCTCAAAGAGACGGAGAACATTCATTGTTTAGATCAACTCTGGAGCCAGGGTAGCTGGCTGCATTCTCTCTGCCGCTTCCTCGTGTGTGAAGCCTGCTCCTGTGTTCCCATCTCATGTGTTCATCGTGGGGATGAAGTGAGTTAATATGGAAAGTGGCTTGTACTAATGCAAGCATCACAATTTGAAATCTCAGAAATGCCAATATAAAAGGGTCCCTTTTAGTCACTGTCTGAACTCCCTGGATTTCCAGCATTCAGTGGTCACCGATGAGTCACACTGCTGTCCGCAGGCCATGAGCAGGCCAGCAGCTGCTCTCCATCCTGCACCAAGGGAGATGAGCACCCCCAAGAGGCTGTGCCATGACCCAGGCTGCATTCTGCTATGTAATTTGTACTATGCTTTTGACATTTTCATGATTTAAGATTCTGATCGTATTCGTAATGATCAAAATTAACGTTAAAATATTTATTTTTATGTTATGGTATGAGTGCTTTGTATGCATGTAAATATGTATGTATGCCATATACCTAACTGGTACCCAGAGAAGCCAAAAGAGGACACTGGATCCCCTGGACCAGAGTTACAGACTACTGTGAGTTGCCATGTGAGTGCTGGGAACCAAACTCAGGTCCTCTGTAAGAGCAGCAAGTGCCTGATCCTTTTTCCAGACCTGATTAAAATTTAAAAGTGTATAAAATGTGTGTAGAGTAGAGAAGTAAATGATACACATTTTTGAAAGATTTTAGGATGTTTATGAGCTGGTTTGTTGTTGTTGTTTTTACTCTTTCAATCTTTGTTCTTTTGGGGGGCCCACCATCCAGCTCACAAACAAATCACACACGGAGTCTTATTTTTACCTATGAATGCCTGGCCTTAGCTTGGCTTGTTTCTAGCTAGCTTTTCTTAGCTTATCCTGTCTACTTTTGCCTCTGGGCTTTTACCTTTCTCTGTATCTTTTCTTTCCTTCTTATTTCATGTCTGGCTGTGTGGCTGGGTGATTGGCCCCCTCTTTCCTTGCTCCTCGGTCTCTTTCCAGATTTCTCCTCCAATTTATTCTCTCTTCCTGCCAGCTCCACCTATCCTCTCTCTTGTTTAGCTATTGGCCATTCAGGTTATTAGACCAGTCAGGTGTTTTAGACAGGCACAGTAACACAGCTTCACAGAGTTAAACAAATGCAATATAAAAGAATGCAACACATCTTCGCATCGTTAAAAACAAATGCTCCCCAGCATAAACAAATGTAACACATCTTAAAATAATATTCTACAACACGGTTAAGCAGCTCACCGATATTCTAAGGCAAGTTGATCACTCAAACATATTTTTCATTTACTTTACCTACCTTATCAACTGATCTTTTTTGTTTAGTCTCGGTTAATTCAGTTTTATACTAACTCTTTAAGACACATGAGAGCAAATAGAAAGCTGCAAGAGCGAGGACCCCTGAAAGGAGAGTTGGCAAATTCAGGTCTTGGTAGAGGTCTCCCCAAACTAGGAATGGTAAGGTTTTTAAGGTCAGTTGGGCCCACGTTACATATTGAAAATACCAGCTATGGGCTTCAAAGGTGACTGAAAAGAGTGACTAGGCATGTTATCCACTTGCCGTTCAGCGTGTATGCCTGTGGTACATATGTATGTGGTATGTGTCTGTGTGTGAAGGGTGTACGGGTCACATGCCCATGTGCCCATGCGAAGATCAGAGGAAAACATTCAACATTCTGCTCTATTACTCTCCATCTTATTCCCCCGGAGACAGTCTCTCTCACTGAAGCTAGGACTAGGCTGGCAGCCAACAAGCCCCAGTTAGCCTCCCGTCCTCCCGTCTCTGCCCCACCCACATAACAATGGAGTGACAGGTGTGCTCAGTCATTCCTAGCTTTTTAAGAACATTGTTTATATTATCATTTAAATTGTGTGTGTGTGTGTGTGTGTACTTAGTGCAGGTATAAAAAAGCCAGTGGTCCAGTGGTGTCAGATGCCCTGGAGCTAGAGTTAAGGTAATTCTGAGTCCCTGATTTGGTAGCTGAGAATTGGGTGCAGGTCCCCTGGAAGAGTAGTACATGCTTTCAATCTCCGCGCCATCTCTCCAGCCCACACTCCCATACACGGGTGCTAGGGCTGCAAACCGAGGTCCTCAGGCTTGCCCGGTAAGCGCTCCTACCTCTGAGCCACCTGCCCAGCTCCCATTGGCGCCCATCATTTTAACTACGATGTCTTCCATCTGCTAATATGCACCTACTGCGATTCTGGACACAAGAGGCTTTTAAATGAGGATAGTGAGAGACTTTTAAACCTGGGCTCCTTGAACGCCTGGAGGTGTGTGTGTGTGTGTGTGTGTGTGTGTGTGTGTGTGTGTATCTGTGTCTGTGTGAGTGTGTATGTCTGTGCAAGTGTGTCCCTATGTACATATTGTTGGCTAAGTGACTCTGTAACTGAATTGTATTCTCCAGAGGTACTTGATTTGATTATAGATTTATAAACAAAAAAGCCTATAAAATCAGAAGAAAAGTAAGCATAATGAAAATGCTGAGTGGTGCGGCAGTTTTAGATACATGGAAGGTGTATGTAAGGACAATGGACCCAGAGGAGAGGACAATTCTGTCTCAGTGACGGGAAGTGAGAGGGTAGCAGTTTCTGAAGTGTCCAGCTAGTTTAGCATTTCACTAAATGCAGACCTCAAATTGACTTTTACTTAACCATTGCTCCCAGGAATAGACAGTAAGGATTGTAGCTTCATTGTTAATACCACACATCTATCTGAGAGCATGGTATGAAGTTATGTTCTCCATTACAAATGAGTTCTGATACAGTATAAACATCTTAGAGAAAATTGTCCTCTCGTGATAATAGAGCCGAGAAGTCTAGGACTTCTCGCCCTTGTTCGCGCTCCTGGGCTAGAAGTCCCACCTTGTCTCCAAGCTTGTGATCCCACTGTTCTTCTCAGTCCCATCACTGTGGAGTGTCAGACGGGTGATAAAGAACCTGTCACAGAAGGCCCACCTCAGGGAGACAGAGGTATTAGGCCTCTCTGTGCTCCGAGAGCTAAGCACTTGGCTTGTCTCCTTTAGAACCTTCTGAGAGGTGAGAGCCAGTACCCACCCACCTTGACCCCTCTGCCCCGATTTCCTCTCTGCTTTCTTTTGCAGGGAACCCACAGTCTCTTTTGAATAGAACCCACATCTATTTGATGGCACAGATCTATTAAGCTTGTCCTTAAAACAAAACTCGATTTTTTTCATTCGAAATCTTAAAAAGCATGTCACAATAACATGTTCCAGACTGGTGGAAAGTGAAGTATTCTTCAGTTTTAGCTAAGAAGTGATTATCTCTGCACTAGAGAGATGACTGAGCTGAGCAGGTAAGAGCACTTTCTGCTGTTCCAGGGGACCCATGCTCAGGTCCCAGCAACCACACCAGGCAGCTGTTAAGCGCCTGTAACTCTAGCTCCAGGGGATCCAAAACCTCTGACTTCTATGGGAACCTGCACATACATACCCACCCCCCCGACATACACATTATGGTTATTCATAATTTCAAATATAAAATAAATCTTTAAACATTTTAAAAAATAATGAAAAGCAACAATGATTTGGGTCAGTGCCTTTGCACTTCAAAATAAAATGAGAAACAAAACAAAACAGAAACAGGCTGAGACTTGACCCATGCAGCCTGCGCGCATGGATTCAAATATCACACGGAGCCCTATTAACATGAGCAGTTAATACAGCATCAAAATAAGATAATTAATAAAAATAACACTGAATCCCACAAACCCAGGGCCTACCGGGGTAATTTCGTCCATTAACAGTCAAAGACAAGCCCCCCTAGTTTATTAGCTCTGTACCTCAGTTTCTTAAGGTCTGTGACCCACCGGTCTCCCATCCTCCTCATGTAGTTCATCTCTTCCTCCTCCTCGATGATCTCTCGGATCTGATGCTTCACGTCTGGGTCCTTTACCACCACAAAGGTCCAGGGCTCTGTGTGGGCCCCACTTGGCGCTGTTCCTGTTGCCCGTCACATTAAAACCAATGTAAGACTGAAGAGGAGTGGAAAGCTGCTTGTTAAGGGGAAGCACAATAGCAGGTGTTGTGGTGATGTGTGCCCGGTATCCTATTCACCACTTGGGAGACTGAGGCAGGAGGATCACAAATGCAATAAAGCTCTAGAGCAGTGATTCTCAACCTGTGGGGCAAGAACTGCACAGGGTCCCCCGATCAGATGTCCTGCGTGTCGGACATTGACATTTCAGTTCGCAACAGTAACAAAATTGCAGTTATGAATAGCAATGAAAATAATATTATAGTTGGGAGGCATCACAACACGAAGAATTGTACTAAAGGGTCACAGCTTAGGAAGGTTGAGAAGCACTGCTATAGAGGGAGGAAGAAGAGCAAGCAGAGGACGAAGAGAAGAGAAATTTACCTTAATTTAAACACACACACACATGTACACACACACATATGCACACACTCACAGGGTTGTTGTAATGATTGTTGCCACTTAGGTTAAGGGTACAACTATCCAAGGCATTTGTACTCTTAGCTGAAACAAAGTGTTCTTGACACGTTTCGGGTTAGAGCTGGATCTCAGTGGGTGTGTGACAAGCTCCACACAGGAATTTAAATGTGGTTTAGACAGAGTAGGACCACAGCAAGGACAGTCACAGAGGAGTGTGTAGCAAGGGCAGTCACAGAGGAGTGTGGAGCAAGGGCAGTCACAGAGGAGTGTGGAGCAGCACAGTTCTTAGTTCCCCCTCAGCAGAGACAGGAATTTACGTTTCAGTGAATTGATCTTGCTTCAGTTCACTTTACAAATCCACATAAGGAAATCTTGCTACTTTGTTAGCTCAATCAATGACAGTGTCTGACTGACACAAAGGTTGTTTCCTGGAAGATAAACATGTAAATGTGAATTGAGTGTCGAGGAGGGGCCTGTTTCAATGAGGGGAGAGAGATTTCTCCTGCACGGTGCACTAACCTATTCAGAATATTTAGTTTTAAACAGAAGTTCATACAATGTATAGACTTCATAAGTTGTAAACTGTCATCACATCTTTTACACAATTACACACACACACACACACACACACACACACACTGAGAGAGAGAGAGAGAGAGAGAGAGAGAGAGAGAGAGAGGGTCAAAATGTAGCAAGTAAAAAATCACTGGCCATCACGAACAGTGGGAAAACCTTCATAAACACAGACTACTCCAGCCCCCTGCCTGTTTGGACTTTGGTGCTGATCCAACGCTCTATCCAACGCTCTCACGGTAGGGGGAGTTGATGTTCTCCACGCCTCAGCACGCAAATTACCAACCTGCTGCCTTTATGACATTCTCAATGACTTCCATTGGGACTTGCTCGCTGCTGATGAACCTGACAGAGCGTCTCTTATTAAGGAGTTCGTAGAACTCCTGGGATCTCATCTTCATTTCCGGCTCTGGGTACCGGGTGTGAGAGAACGGGATCTGCTCCACACTCTCCTCTGACTCCTGCCATTCATCAGCATCTGCGAATAGGAGACAGAAGCACAGCAAATTCAGCTACCTGCCTGGTCCCAAGGCCACTGTAGGGAAGGGAATGACGTCCCAGGAAAGTCTAAGCAGTTATACGACGTCAAAATAGCCAACCAAAGTTTGTAAGAAGGAAAATAAAGATCTGCAGAAGTTTCACCACTAATCGTGATGATCCTTCAAATTCTAGGCCTGTTAAAAATCAAAGGAGAGTTTTGCCTACAAAAAAAATAACAAATGGAAGTTTCTGTTAAATGGTAGAGTAGGTTATTTGATGCAATCTCCTATTCAGGTTACCAAATAAAGTAGTTTTGTCTTTGCAAAGCATTAGGCTGACTACATAGTAAGACATTCCAAAGCCAAAAATGAAGGGAAAATAGGAACCTAGAGAGGTGAGTGCAGAGGCCTGTTTTTCCTGCTTGCATCTGTCAATTCCTACAAGTCCAGTTCCCAGTTTCTGATCCTCGGGCAGGAAGGATAACCAAAATCAAAGCCCACAGCACACGCACAGTCAGAAGTTGAATCAGTTCAGATTCTCAGGCTACATCCCTTGGGAAAGTGTGGATTACAAACAAATCATCTTTCAGGAGCCTATGACATTTTGGTGTGTCCTTCCTCTAACTTAGCGTTTCTTCTAAATAATTCTATCATTTTTTCAGAAGTTATATTTTTCATTTCTGTGCTGTTAACTTTTTCTTCCTTCAGTCATACTGTAGAGATTCTTATAAGTCTGTCCCGTTTCCTTCTCTAAGGTGGTGTGTGTCCTAGCTGTTTGCTCTTTTGAGCCTGTGAGTTCTTAGAGCAACGAGACACCCATCCTTCTCAAACACTGAGTTTACTAATTTTTACTTAAGCTCTTCTGTTCCCTCGTGTGCAGGATTGCATTGTTGAATTATTGAGGTTTTTTCCTAAAATTCTTTACATACTGTCATTTGCTTCTGCTGGACAACTGGGGTGCTAGCCGTTACCTCTGATCCAGACAAACAAAGAGACCTCATCACGCTGCAATGGGGTTGTCCTGAGTGACTTTGCTGTGCACTGTGGGGCACATCCTGCATTCTCTTCTGGGGCAGAAGATCCTCAGTCTGGGGAATGGGGACAGAGACAGCACAGAGGGTTCAGCCTGCGAGCTCAGCAATCTCCTGCAGAGACCATACTGGAGAGCTCACAGGGACCTCTGAAAACAAACAGTGCCACTTCTTTCTGCTCTTGAACTCCTCATTGATCCCAGGAATGTGGCCTTGGAAGGGAAGAAAAAAAAAACACTCTGAAATTCTGTTTTCAGACCTCCTTGTTTTAGGTCTCTCGGTGGGAGTGGCTACCCAGCAAACAGCTCTATGCCTGGATCCTGGAGACAGACTGCCAGAGTCCTACTAGCCTAGGTGGGTGGTACCCTACTAGAGCCTTGGTCTGCTGTGATGGGGATAATGGTAATGCCCGCCTCCTTGTAGTACCATGAAGATGAAGTGGCCCACTCCAGCACCAGCTGGCTCCATTCTGCTATGCGAGAGTGCGGTGGTCCCTGAGTCTCCTTGCCTAAGCCTCTTCCTTTCTACCATACATCTCTCCACCACATTCGTCTCACCTTTGGGTGTCTCCCAATCTCTGCCTTCAGCCTTGTCTCCCAGAGGACACACTTGGTGAAGTCATTAGTTCTCCACGCTCTGAGCACCACCTTAAACTAGTGCCATTCTGGCCAGAATCTCTTACCCAACAGCACAGCTATCTTAAATTCAGCACATCTTTATATCACCCCCTAAACTGGATCCTTCTCTCTTGTTCATTGAAAGCACAGCCTTAACCACTCTCTCTGTCTTCTGTGACATCTAAAACATGATGCTCTTCACTGTAACTTGGGCATCCAAGGCGCTCCCACCATACCACTATTCTCAATGAAAGCTTAGAACAGGCATCTGTGTTAAGGGAAGTGCTTCCCAAGTGGGACCAGATAGTCCCCTATTTACATTGTCCAATTTAGAAGGTTTTAACTTTACCATGTCACAAAAACACACCCATAGAACCTATCCTGTAGTTCACTTTCAGTGGAGCATTCGACAAACCTCATGAGACTCTGTGTTTGATTGCAAGGGAGAGGCTGTATTAGATGGTTTGTCTCACGCTAAGCTCACTGCACATGCTCACTGGTGGCTGGCTAAGCAGTTGAGCTTTGCTGGCTAGGTGTATCAAATGCATTTTCAATCCACAATATTCTTAACTTGCCACAGGGTTTGCAGGTCGTGACAGCATTGCACATCAATGCGTGTCTGTGTGGCTGGTACTCCGAGTTGGGTGTCCTTCAGAATATGACACTAAGAGATAGTCCTCTTGAGAAACTATCTGATTTGATTCTAATGCATGCACATTTGTGTGCATGCATGCGTATACACACACACACACACATCAGGCAGCCTCTGGGAAGCAAAGACTCACTGAAAATTAAACAGCTTCTTCTTCCAAATAGAATCTATTTCTCACACCCAGCTCAGGCAACATGCTCCAAATGTACTGTGGAGTAACACTTCTCTACACTGTGAAGATGAGCTACTTTCATTGTTAACAATGAGCCAATAAGCCAATAGCTAGCCAGGAGGAGATGAGATGACAGAGCCAAATGAGAGCACTCTGGGAAGAAGAAAGATAGAGTCAGGAGGGGTCTTGAGGAGACAAGGCTCTAAGCAAGTTGAAAATGCCATGCTGATAAAAAGTACCACCACAGGGTAGAGGGTACAGATATGTGTTAGTTTAAGTTGTAAGAACAGTTAACAATAAGCCTAAGCTATTGATTGAGCATTTATAAGTAATATTAAGTCTCTGTGTGGTTAATTTGGGGGCTGGCTAGCAGGACAAAACTGGCAGGCAGGGCAGGAAACTCTTCCTACACAAATGCAGACTGCTCAAGACTCTTATGAGAGCCCCCTTCCCTCTCTGACTCTTTGAGATCTTCTCTCTAGGGCCAGCCATAGCCATCTCTCTCTTCCCCACCTTCATTCCTGCACATCTTCCCATCTTCTTGGAATCTCTCCCAAGCATCAGACCATAGGTGTAGGCTTGCTGATTCTCCTCTGACATACTCTCCTGCTCCAGCATCCCCTGCTACTCACACCTGTTAACCCTCGGGGTCAGCTTTGTCCTTTCCCAAAGCCCCAACAGGCCCCCAAGCCTTCCCAAAACACCTTGTCCTAGTTCCCCAGAGTTTGTCACTAGCCTTGTTTTATCTCATTCCCTGAACTGGACCTTTATCTTGCTAAGCACAGAGGCTGCTCCTCTTGTCTCTAACCCATAGACCTGGCACAAGAAAAACTAGCTAATCCCCAGACATGCCACTTTCTGAGTTTCACCATTCCTAATCAAAACCTGGCCACACTCACTGCCACCCTATACAGTAGCCCCCCACTCTGCCCCGAGAAGGAGACTGTATTTGCTAGAGGAGGATCTGAACTGGGAGAGACCCAACTCTCCATGGCTTAGGACTGAGTAGGGGCTGGTACCAGCAAGTGACCTGAGACAGGACCCGTATTTGTCACACATTATTTTGCTTTCACGGGAGTGATGGTTTGACCATGTGACTTGCTTTCCACAGCCCTGGCATCAGTTTACACATCATAAAGACACGCAGGGGGAAGCCCAGTCCTGCAATGGGTTGTTACCTTCTTCCACTTGAAGGAGGTCTGTGCTGTCTTTCAAGTCTTCATCTGCCCAGGGGCGAGCTTGAGCCTCCTCCTTCTTCCTCTCCAGGCTCCTATCGGCGTTTTTAAAGACCCACACAATCAAGATGCAGACAACCGCTACCAGCACCGGAGTGAGGAGAAACATGGTCTGCAGTCTGACCCGGAAGGTCAGCACACTCCCGCACTGGCATTTATACAAACAGAGCTGGGAGCAGAGAATGCTGGGAGGAGAAGCAAGAGGAGGGAGGTGTGCCAGGAAAGGAGCAAAGTACACACTCTCAAACTCCGTGACGACTTTGCAGAGGAGCAAAGATCACAGTCTTGTGCACACAGGTTTGGTCCTGCTCCAATGCATGCATTTTTAAAAGTTGTGCACTTGCTCAATCTTTTCTCAGATGTTAATCACTGTGGGGTATGTTAAGCACTGTAATGTGCTAGATCTTCCTGCCTTCAGTTAGAAAGGCATTTGACCTTTCTCCTATTTAACTTTTGTTTTGAGAGTGTCTCCAATCTGCCTGAAGCTAGGAAGTACCCAGAGAGCTCACTTTTAAAAGAACAGTTTTATAAATACAGATTCTGATGTCCTGAAAGAAAATGTCTAGAAAGAGACTGTCAAAGTGCATTTTCAGCTGCCTGTGTAAGAGGCACTGCCCTGAGGTTGTATTTGTTTTCAGTAGTACCCATGCCTACATATGCAACAGAGAACAAAGGCTCATGTTTTATGTTAGAGAAAAAAAAATTTAGTCTAGAAAAAGTGATGCAAAAAGCCAAAAATGACTCTATCTAAATTTGAAATGTTTGGGGGGATGTGTTGTTTAGTTGGTTTTTGTTTTGTTTTGATCTTACTTTTTATCTTTGCCTATATCTTTCCTGTTCAGGCTGCCATAACAGAAATATTATCAACTGGGTGACTTAAATAACAAAAACCGTGTGTCTTACCTTCCTAGAGATTGGGAAGTGCAAGTCCCAGCTGCCAGCACACTCGCTTCTTCCTGGCTTGTGTACAGCTGACTTCTCCCATTGTCCTTACAGCTGGGAACGGGGAGAAGGCGGGGAGAGAGGCGACCGTTCCACACTGAAAGCTTACAGTGTGGTCCCTGCATGCTCTACACACTAAATCACAGATGCTTCACAAAGTCCTCGTGCAATAGATCCCACTATTGCCCCCATTTTCACTTGAAAGAATGAGGGCCAAGTAGGTCAAATAGCATGCTGACGGCTAATAGAAGGTAAATGGACCATAAATAGTCCCCGTCTATTCGCCAAAAAGGAGTCCACATTGTGTCCTTCTGCAGCGTGGACTAGAGCTCTTAGTTCAGAGCCTGCAGTGTTGAACCTGCCTGGGTCAGGGTGGGAAGTTGGAGATATCTCTTGTGGAATATTATTTTTACTAGGCAAAGATGTGCTACGTTTGTTTCTGTTGCCTTTGCTAACTGTGGACAGGTTTGTTACATTTGTCTACGCTGCATCTGTTTCATTATGTCAAGCATTTGTTTCACTTTGCCTGCCTAAGGGACCTGATGGGTCTAATAAAAAAGCTGAACAGTCAATAGCTAGGAAGTAGAGGGGTAGGTGGGGCTGGAGGACAGAGAGAATAAATGGGAGGAGAGAGAAGAAGGAAGAATGACAAGAACAAGGGAGAAAGAGAGAGACAAACCCAAGGCCAGAAGTCAGACAGCCACCAGCCAGCCAGACATGGAACAGAACAGACAGAAAGAAAGAAAAGTAAAAGAAGTAAAAGAACCCAGACAAAATGTAGATGAAGAGAAACAAATTAATTTAAGTTAAAAGAGCTAGTGAGACAAGTGTAAGACAAGGCCGAGCATTCATACCTAACATTAAGTCTCCGTGTCATGACTGGGGAGCAGGTTGATGGTCCAAAAGAAAGCCTGCTGCAGACATGGGTTTTCTGGGTTAGTATAGGAGGCACTGGTACCTGAATACCCAGACGCATGTTCCTCTGGGTGTTACAGTAAAAAGTTTAAAATATGCACAGCCAGGGGGCAAGAAGCTTGGCAGCTGTATCAGCAGGAGCCTGGGCAGAGCAGAATGGAGATCATCCAAGGCAGAAAACGGCCTCCAGAGGGAAGAAACTGGGACTCTCGAGTTTGGAACCCACATACCTTCCTGCCTGAAGGCCTCAGGGAAGCGGGGGTGGGGAGTGGGGGTCTGCCCCCACTTTCCATCCCTTGTCCTGTGAATTCTTTCACTTCTCACCTGAGCTGGGCCCAGCACTCTAAATCCAATGCTTTCTCAGTGGCCAGGCTTCCAGCTTATAATAGTGTCAAGTATGTCACCACTGTATCACACACTTACACTAGAGTAATGTGACTTCTCTCGAGGAACAGAGCCTGTGGAATTGGGTCAAAGGGCACCATGCGGCTAATCTGGGGGAGGCCCAGATGGGCCTTCTTTATTCTCCATACCTCTAAAGAGTGGTTTTCAACCTTCCTAATGCTGCCACCCTTTAATACAGTTCCTCACGCTGTGATAATCCCCTCACCATAAACTTACTTTTGTTGCTACTTCATAACTGTAATTCTGCTATGAATTGTAATGTGATGTAACTCTCTGTGTTTTCTGATGGTCTGAAGTGACCCCCATGAAAGAATCATTCTATCCCCAAAGAGGTCACGACCAACAGGTTGAGAACCACTACCTTCCTTACTGTCTGTTCTTTGTTCTTAGCCAGTGAAGGAAAGGGGAAGAGTGTTGAAGGAGGGTACAGCAGATGGCACGAGGTGTTTCCACGCCACCCGCCATTGCTCTTCATCATTGCGTTCTGATCATCGGTTTTAAATAATCGTTTGGCGGCTTGCAGCCACCTTGCCAACCACACCAGGAAGAGTATTATTCTAGAAGACACCCCCCAAAAAACAAATACAGTGCTGATGTTAAATCTAGGACATCTGTCTGTGTTCCTGCTTGCTAAAGTGCCCAGTGTGTATTTGCAGAAGGCAAAGGAAGGCAACAGAGGACTCTCTAGGGAAGATGCTGCTCAGTCGCATTGAGTGAGCCAACAGAGTTCACAGAAGCAAACTGTGATCTTGGTTAAGATCCAGTGTTCAGCAGTGACTTCAAAGGCAACTGTTCAAGGAGAAGTTGGAAATGGGTGAGCTAAACTCTGCAATCTGATCTCAGGTCAATATGACATCGGAGAGACACAAGGAACTTACAAGAATGTTTAAATGAGTTAGTCAGCCTTGTCTATACATAGTCACCTTTACTAAAGCTGTCCCATGCAAGGACATGTACCGACCTGACTCTCATTGGGCTGCCTTGTACTGACATCCATTGTGTCTTGTGCCAATGAATGCTTAAGTTAGGCCTTTCTCTGCCTGCATTAGCCATCGAGTCTGTAGGATGAGGCACTTGTAATGAAATGAAACTGCACTCCCCAAAAGGAAACTGAGAATGAAGAGCCATGTGTCAGGTGCCTTCACAGAACACAAGTTAGACCAAAGGGTCCCAAAGTGAGATCTTAGGCCACTAACAGAACCATCCCCTGTTGGGGGGTTGTTAGATATTCTATTTTTAGGCCTTCTTCTAGACCCACTGACACAAAGACCCCAGGGCAAGGGTTAGCTGTCTGATTTTCACAAGCCCTCCAAACAATTCTAGTGACGGCTAAAGTCTGGCAAAGACTGGGCTAAAGGGGAGACACTCAGTACTGATGTTACCTCAAGTTCAGATTCTCCAGACCAAACCTCACCCTCCTTCCCACAACCCATTGCCCAGAGAAGCAGAGTATTCTCCCACTAAATGCTACTTGAACCGTTTTCCTACTGCCCCTCTCAGCCATCCTCAGCATCTTACAGACAACAAAATACCAAGCATCAGTTCCAGGTCCTAAGAAGGAAACTTGGTTTTCTGAAATTACCTTACGATGGCAGACCAGGTGCCACCAAAGGCTATGGTTGAGAAAGCAAAGGGTGCCTTGTTCTTCCCACGAACACTTACAGTTCAGATGGCAGACAACAGGAGTCTCACCTGAATGGGATCCCACCACCGAGTGAGTGTCAGACACTGGGGACACTGGGGACGATACAGTGCTAATCAAAGCTTACACCTTCCCTCTCCAAGCAAATCACACATCCAGATCTACACTCAGTCTGATTCATTATGTTCTCCAGAAGGGGAAAAGTGTGAGATTTCACGGGCTTGATGTATTGTTTAACCCAGTGGGCATCTAGATGTGCCAGTTCTGGGAGCCCCCAAGGACACTCTCGGCTATAAACAACTCTCGGGAAAGAAGCATAGAAGTTGGCTCAGAGGGTGGGGACTGTGGAAGCATGCACCCATCCATCACGACTGTCTTTGTTCCTACGGGAATAATTCTGAGGCTAGAGGAGTCCTTAGGGACTCCTCTCACTTGAGCAGTATCCAAACAGCACTCCTTATGGCCCAAGCTGGGCCTGCAAGAAAACTCGTGGTAATTCTCCAATCTGCATTACATCATTTTAGAAACTGATGTTTTTCTTGGAAAGCATTCAGCCACAGGCGAAATGGCAAGATAAAGGAGACAGCAGCTTAGCTTGGTGAGTTGTAACAATAATTACTGATAGTATCAGGTAAGTAATGCTGTCCTGAGATCTTTTTCTTGGTGAGCCTGGCTTCACGGTGGAAAACCTTTCCACAACATCCCAAGTCTTCTTCCACTGTGACCTTGGCTCCCCAGTTCATTCTCCCACCACCCATGCTCACTGCATATAAAAGGAGGGTTCATGGGTGGCTCCCAGGGCCTGGCAGCATCTGTGTGTTCTTCGTTTGCTCAAATGATAAGCTTCTCAGAGCAGAGAGGGGTTGGAGAGGCTTAGATCTGTGTGATGGCAGCAGAATGAGGCTTTGTTGGAAGGAAGACATAAGATCTTGAATCTGCCACATGTCTATGTGCTTTCTACAGCTGACTTTCACCAGTAAGGAAGCCAATCAATATTTTGGTTTGAACTGGGCAACCCCGGGTTTGTGTCAGAACTCCAAAGAGCAGAGAAAGGGGCATGGAGCCCCCCGAGGCAGACACAATCACTGTCCTTATTTTGTAGAAGAAATCAAACGTTGAAAGATGATCAGCATCTTTGTGTATCTTCATCACAGATCACCACACTTACCCTGGACACTGCTGATGTAAGGAGCATCATCCTGCAGCTCCTGAAACTCCCAGTGGGATGCCTCTTACCCTTACTCTGGTGTTTATTT